CAAAGTTTAAAACCAAGTGCCTGACAGTGACAGCAGCATTTCTATTCAGGTAACAGTGAGGGAGTCCGTTGATTTCATGGCTTGTTGTTATATGTCGGATTCCTTCTAAACTCTTCATTCCCCAGGTGTTAATAGCCCTCTCTGCCATTTGATGGTGTTAAAGTTTCTTCTGCAGTTCTGCTACCTTTTAGCTGCTTCTGGTAAGGTAGCTCCTATTTCACAGCCCTGTGAATTGGCCTAAAACATTAAATCAGATGTGGAAACATTAACTCAGGTGTAGAAATAACTTTCATTGAAATATTGGATACCCTATCAAGACAGTCAAGAAGGCTAGATTTTGGATTCATAGAATCATAGGGCTGGAAGGGCTCCCGAAGGATCATCAGGTCCAGCCCCCTGCATGAGCAGGAAAGACATCTGGGGTCAGATGACCCCAGCCAGGTGACTGTCCAGTCTTCTTTTGAAGACCTCTATGGTAGATGATTGCGTCACCTCTGGGAGGAGCTTGTTCCATAGTCTAGACACCCTAGTTGTAAAGAAGTTTTTCCTAATGCTCAGCCTGAAGCTATCTTCCAGGAAGCAGTTTGTGGCCATTGTTTCTAGTTTTCCCCCATGGTGCCCTGGTGAACAGTTGTTCACGAAGCCCCGATGCACGCCTCTGATATAGCTGTAAGCCGCAGTCAGGGCCCCTCTCAGCCTTCTTTTATTTAGGCTGAAGAGTCCGACATCCCTCAGCCTCTCCTCATATGGCTTGTCATGCACGTCCCTGATCATATGGGTGGCTCTTCTCTGGACCCTCTCAAGTTTTAGCACATCCTTGCTGAGGTATGGCGCCCAGAACTGGATGCAGTCCTCCAGCTGCGGCCGCACCAATGTTGAGTAAAGCGGGAGAATTGCTTTTTTGGATTTACTGGAGATGCATCGATTGATGCATGCCAGAGTTTTATTGGCCCTAGCGGCTACTGCGTCGCATTGCTGGCTCATATTCATGCTGGGGTCTATTGTTACCTGCAGATAGATCCCTTTCATTTGTAGTGCTGGTCAGATTAGCGATGCCCAGCCTGTAGGTGTGCTGGGGGTTCTTCCTTCCCAGACGCAGCACTTTGCATTTCTCTATGTTGAACCTCATCTTGTTCTGTTCTGTCCAACTTGCCAGCCTGTCTAGGTCTGCTTGTATCTGCAGCCTATCTGCGGGTGTGTCCGCTCAACCCCATATCTTGGTGTTGTCTGAACTTGGCCAATGGGCTTTTCACCCATTTTTTTTTATGATTCTGAAAAAAGGTGTATATTTAATTTCTCATGATGATAGAACTAATGAAACAACATCTTTTGATAATTTTTTGATTAGTTGGTTGTGTTTTTGTATACATCATGTATGATACAGCAAATTAATGTATATTTCAATAAAGTTACGTGTTTTTGCTTAGATCTTAAACTGAATAATATAGTCCTTGGGCTCCTAGCACATTAGTAAACCTTCTAGTATCTTTTTAACTTGAGAAAAATGTGTTGTGTTTATATGTGATGATATACCACACCATCTCTTTTCAAAATCCTAGATCTGCTCATGTGAGTTGCCCCAAAGTTTTTTAAAAAATAGTAGTTGTGATTCAGGTGATAAAACCAATCCTATGCTTGCACTGGTTTTTGAGAACTAGAACAGAGAACAACCTCAGGCATTTAGCTCACCTTGGTTTTAGTCGAGAATGGATAGGAGTGCTACCGCTTCCTTAAACTCTTCCTACTGCTGTGATTAAGCTCAAAATTCTTTAAAAAAAATCAACCCTGGATGAGAAGAGGACATAGGATTACATGGTTTTATGCACAACAGCTTTATTCAGAAAGTTAGAAAGAAGATGCAGATTGAACTGCAACACATGCAAGGCACTTTCTACCTTAGTAAATAAAACTAATGAAATGGATTTTGTTATGCTGGCTAACGGCTAGTAAGGCATGATCTGTTGGCCTTGGAATCTATGAATACACAAAAATCGGGTGCAGAAATTCATGTGGGTACTTTTCTTGGGACCACTTTCACCAGAAAGATTCTTATCTCTACTGAGGTACTTTGACTTACTACTTCCTAAATAAATGAGCATTAGATTCTCTTTCCTGTTGCAATCTTGCCTTGTGCAACAGGGGCTAGAGGCAAGGAGCCCTTGCTGCTTTTGCATCCTCAAAAGAGGATGTAGAGTTCATGTTGCTGGAATATAGGATCTGTTCCTTCTATATGTCCTTTCACATCTTTGATGCCCGAAAGCAGGTTGAGGGCATGGCCTTCCGCAGACGAAACACACAAATGAGACAGCTGAGGTGGGAGGGTTCTGTTGTACTCTGATGCAGAATTTCTCTTGAAGTTCCCCCCTGGAGCAATGCAGCTCAGTGCCTAACCTAAGAGTGGTGCCTCAAGGGCACAGCTGAACTCATAACATTTATCCAGAAGTAAGGTGTCCCGAGAGTGATAAATCTGCAGACTGGATTGCAAGGAAAATCAGTGGCACAACAAAAGGTAGTAATAGACTTCTGCCACTTTTTGTAGCAGACGTCTCTTAGCTCTGTTGCCGGAGAGTATGACCAGCCCGAGCTGCTTGCGCTCTTCAGCCACCCTGGGAAGGTGCTTGAGCAGCTCAAGGGCCCCTCAAGCCCCCTAAGCACCTTCTTGGTTTTCCCTGCTTACAGAGAAGCACCCCAGGGAATTTTGGGGTGCCTCTTCATAAGTGAGGAAGTTGGAGTTTCCCACTCACCCAGACCTATCCCCAGTGATCCCAGGGGCAAATCTGAGCGATACTTTCCCTGTTTACTCAGACCCCTCCCCGGAGGTCTCAGGAGTGAGTGTGAGATCAGGGAAACGCTCTGCTTGCAGAGACACCCTCCATGTTGCATAGCAGTTTCCTGGTGCATATTAGCAAGTGAGGAGGAGGGAACAATACCTTGGCCCTAACAGTAGCAGCATTTAGAGCTATGATGCTAATATGAGAGCAGCTCCATACTGTGTCCTGGGTCCCTTTCACTCTCACCTGGAAGGGGAACGTATTACAGCACAGCTGACTGTGCTCCACAGAGGATGTATGTTTCTAGCTTGAAACTGTAATGCTTCTTGATCAGGGGTGAGCAGTTGTTTGGGCCCAAGGGCTATGTGGAGAGTTTTGATGAACTGTTGTGGGCTGGGTCAGCTGCTTCTCTGCCCCCTTCCTGTGCAACAACTCACCAAAACTTGCTTTGGGTTTGTGGATGGGTGGGGAGCAATGTTCAGGAGTGGGAGGGGCATGGGGCTGGAACGTGGGGCAGTGACAGCTCCAGCACCACTCCCTACATGCCCCTGTCCTCAACGGATGGGATATGTGCATGTGTGTGTGTGGAGGTGTGGGGCTGCCTGGGCTCTAGGTCCTGAGAGCTTGCTGTGGTGGGGGGCCACTTCCAGCAGAGCTCACCCAGGCAGTGCAGTCCATGCTGTCTCTGCTGCACTCCACATGGGGCCAAACTTCTCTCACTTGTGCTGGTGCCCATGGCCACAACCCAGCTAGGTAGCGCTCTGTTCCCCCTGCCTATAATGGAGGCTCCTGATCTTGCTTCTGATCCTGTCCCTGCCATGCTGCACCAGGTGGATGGACAGGCAGCTCGTGCTCCAGTGCACAGGGCTCTGACTCCAGCTCTCAGGAAGATGGCCTGAAGCTGGAGCCCCGTGCACTGGGGCAGGAGCTGCCCAGCTGAAGCTGCTTGCCATTCTGGGAAAGTGGGTATGGCACAGCAGAGGCAGGAGCAGCTTCCAGTGGGCTGTTCCCAGTTCAGCTGCAGCCAGCTGGGTGCTGCTTTGTGCCCCCTGCCTCCAGCAGCAGCTCCTCCTCCTGCTTCTACCCGTCGCAGCTCTGCACCACACAGCGCCACTCCCAGTGAGTGTGTGGGGTTCCAGCTTCAGCTCCCAGCAGCCTTCCAATGGAAAATGGCTGGGAGCTGGAGCCAGAGTCCTGTGCACTGGTGCAGGAGCCACTTGGTTGAAGCCGCTCACCTGGCATGGTGTGGCGGAGTGTGGTAGGGGCAGGAGCTTCTGTTGGAGGTGGGGGATGTAGAGCAACATTTTCCTGTAACCGCACAGGGATCAGCCCACTGGAAGCTGTGCATGCTGGCTAAAGTCAGGCTGTGGGCACTGGTGGGAGCCTGGCAGAGGGTGCTCCAGTGCAAGTAGGCGGGGCTTGGCCCCATGTGAAGCACTGCAGGGGCAGCCGTGGCTGGATCCAGTCATCTGGCAGGCCAGGTTTGCCCATCCCTGTCCTTGAATGTGGAGGAGCCGCTATGGGCACCTAGGCTTTAAACATGGGAAGACTCTTTACCTGCAGGACTCTCCATATCTGGAACACACAAAGCTTCATTTTTCCTTTACAGTGTTTCAGGTCCCATTCTCAGATCTGCTGAGTTGCAGTGGGCCCTTTTAGCTGCATGGTGCTCCACAGAAGAGAACAGGTGGCAATGGATGAGGGTGGGAGATTGCTGGACAGAAGTCAGTTTATTACTTAAATTGCACACCTTTTAATTATTCTTTAGAGTTGCTGTAATTTGTCTTGACAACAGCTGCAAGGAAGAATGTGGCTGAAGGAAACCTTTGTGTGCCAGCCTTGTGCCAACCCCTTAGAAGGGTTTTTTTTTTGGTGAAGTGCATGGGTTATTAGTGGCTGCACTTAGTACCTGTGATGCTATATGAGAGCAGCTGCATCCTATGTCTTGGACTCCTTTTGCTCTCACCTAGAAAGGGTTTGTTTTCTGAGAAAGCATAGCAGAAGCTGGCAAGCATTATTTTAGGGCAACTGTGAATGTGCTGTTTAGCTCTTTTGTGGACTGCCTCTGTTAGCTGTAGTTGGAGTACTCGGCACCACTATAATCTATGTTTATAGGCATAGATTATCTTCTAGGAATTCATTTTCTAAACAAAAAGTAACATAAGGCCTCATGTTGTCATATCTCTTCCCTAATTTGAACATTTAGAATTTTTTTTTTCTTTTCCACAGAGTATGTAGTGGCATGTCATAAATTTGTAGAGGTGAATGCCTTGGGCCTAACTGTAGCGGCACTTAGCAGCTATGATGCGAATATGAGAGCAGCTGCATATTATGTCCTGGGTTCCTTTCGCTCTCACCTGGAAGGGGCTCGTTTTCGAGAACAGAGACAGGTAAGACTGTCCACAGCTTAATTTAGCTGCAATATAGAGGTTGCCTTGGTAGGCACAGGAGGCCATATTCAAAGGTAGTTTCTTACTCATCTGCCCAAAATTTTGATTGGTAGTTGGTGTGTGGGCATGTAGGTTTTCCAAGCCCTGACTCAGGATTACTATTATTATTAGTGCATCATTAAGGTGGTGATTTTTGCTTCTTGCACACCTCCACTGATCCTCAAGTCAGCAGTTCCTGACTACAGAAACATGTTCTTATGTGTTTATTGAATTCATATGTAGGTTTTCAAAAAAAGCTTTTATTCCTCTTTCCATTATTTTCTTTTTTCTTTCACTGTTATGGCTATAATCAGTGTGCTGTAAGAAACAATTACCCGTTTGAAATTCTTAGAACAGTCATTCCACTGAAAGTGCTGTTTGATTTGTTGCTTGTAAAATACAATCAAGTCTTATTTCCTACATAAGTTCTGCTCTATTGTCTAATAATGAGTAATACTCACGCTGTTTTTTTTCTTGTTCTTGTGCTGCAGTTGCTTTATCTTATGGATGTTGTACAAAATGGAATCCGACAACCAAACCTCAGGTTCACCTTCTCCTTGACCATCTACATTGCTCGAGTGGCACAGCAAATGCTGAAGCCAGGTATTGTGGATTACTTTGCATGTTTCATGGTTTAACTTCTGCAGTTAAAGCAAAGAAAACAATGAGGCATGGAATGATATGGGAGGATCAAAGTGCGTTGGCAGATATAGCAATTTAGGAGATGCTCCTGAAAGTAGTTTGGGGAGAACCTTCATCAGAGTCAAAGTCTTATTGCAGGGGTAGAATGTGTCAGGCTTTGTATGAAGTTCAAAACTGTCTGACTGACTGCAGAGATGAATAGTCTTAATCTTGGAACTTTATATGGGAGTACATTGGGTGAAACTGTCTTTTTTGTTGAGTAGGTCAGACTAGATGAAGTTACAGTTTCTCCTGGCCTTAGAATCTATAAACCAATGAAAATCTTGGGTGTAACAGTGTATGTAGGTTCTTAGTCAAGAAAATAATCCATAATATGCACAACCCTCTTAAGATATTTGCACATTTAAATATGAATGTGTCCAGATGAAAATGTGGCCATAATATAGAAGTGCAATAACACTGGTCCACGGAGAGGTGGCAAATCAAGTGAAGCAGGCAAAAATACATGAAACTGCTTTCCTTATAATTTTCTATTTCATTAGTTCCTCTTGTTGCCATTGGGGTGTTTTCTGATCCAGAGAGAGAGAAGAGGTAGTTTATAGTATTGAATGGGACTGGATGAGGTAGTCATTATTGTAGTGTGGTTCATGTAGTGGGATATACTGGAGAACTTCCCCCCCGCTAAATAATTATATGTATCAAGTTATATAATGTGATAGGATTTCCTAGTATATCAGCAGTGTGTTTCTTTGGTACTGATATTTTTTCCTGAAAGTTATAAATTACCTTGACGTTGTCCATTATTCTGCATTTGTTTTTCCTATTACTTTGCTTATCATCCTGTTCTTTTTCATAAGATCCCTGTCCCATCTGGGAATACTGCTGAGGGATTTGCTTTTAACTCTGCTGTAGATTTTTTTCTTCCTGAATAAAGAAGGGTAACTTGGATATATTGAGAGTTGTCCAGAGTTAAATGTTCACCTAAGTGTATGCTTATTGTATTTTTGTCTTGGGTGAAAATCAGGACTGATCAGCAATACATTTGCTCTTACAGTAAACAATGTTATATGTTCCATCCACAAAGCAAATTTCTGACACCTAGCGAAACAGTAAAAAATCAATGCAGACCTATCGTTGTGATTTCTTTTTTTGAACGTGTACACTAACTACACCTGTCAACAATAACCAATCAAATTTGTTCACAGAGCAGCACATGTACTCAAAGATAAATAAATTTCTTCTGTCACACCAGTATTTGGACTTGAAGAAAGTACCAGGCTTTTATCAGTTTTTCTACAGCTTTGATTTAGAGGTAATGCAAGTTCCATGGGGGTTTTTATATATACATATCTATTTTGATCTGAAATATTTGTTATTTATAACTTCTGTTGCAATAGTGTAGGGGGCCCAGCAAAGGACCAGCTCCCCATTGTGCAAGGTGCTGTATAAACAGAATGACTGAATGCTCCCTGAGCTAAAAAAGTTTAACCTAGTTATTAAATCTGCATTCAGTTAAAATGTTAGAAACTTTCAGTGACTTTGTAACTTTCAGTGTCTCATCATTTTGGCACCTTCAGGTCATTCCTGAGGAATATTCTCTGTGGATGACTATTTTACAGTGGTGAAGAATTAAGGGCCATTCAGAAAAAAGTTCTTGTATGTTATACTACCATGTGATTTGTGCATATACATTCACCCACATGCTTTACTTTGAAATTGCCAATAATGGTAACTTTTCTTTCCAGCACAAAACAGAACGCGAGTGGATTCTTAGACTGCTTGGAGAAGGACTGCGGGATAAGCACTGCTATGAGCTGTATGACTACCAGAGGATTTTCCATGTCATACTGTCATTTTTTAATAGTCCCCTGTGTGATGAAACCTCCGAGGTAATTGGAAAAAAAAGTTAGAGTCCATACAAAGTATAAAACACTGTAGACCTTCTTTCCCTACCTCTCTAAACTCTGCTCTCATTCAACTGTATGGGAAAAAAAAATCTATACTTGCATTTAGTGGAAGACAATGCAGGTACACTGACTTAATGGAGCTACATCATTTTTTACCAGCTGTGACAGTATAGCTCTCTAGGCCCATATACAAACAGAAGCTTATGTTCAAAATTGTAATTTTTGGGTTGATTCACAAAGCAGTGTGCCAGTTTTGCCATACCCTAAGCAGCAATGAAAATAAGTTCAAAGTTTTAATACTTGAAGCTTTTATTAATTATAGCTGAAATGCAGCTAATTTGTCACCTTGTTAGAAACAGAAATTGCCATCCTGTAGACTTTTGAGTGTACCCTTCCTCCCTGATGCAGAGCAACCACTGAAGACACTTCTAAGTACCTTAATATCCCTCATATAATTGCAAGGGCATATATAGAGAGGCCAGCTGACACTGAGCTAATGTGCCAATTTTATACTTCAGGTCAGCAGTTTCAAAATGTAGTGTGGTCAGTCTAATTCAATAATTTTCAACGAGGGTGCTCTGGAGTACAACACAAGGGTATCACTATTAGAGGTGCAAAACAACAATAGTATTAAAGCCATTCTGCCCTCTTGTGGTCTGAGTTCTTTGCAACAGAAGAATTGCTTTAATTTTTTCTTTTGTAGTCAAAAAGCGAGGGACAATTAAGAGCTGGCATTTTCCTAGGGGTGCCTTGAGTCCATTGAGTGTGCATTGAGTCTAAGAAAGTTGAGAATCACTGGTCTAATTCCTTCCTTAAATTTCCTTATCCTCCCACACAGGCGTTGCTTCTTAACCATGAGTCTAATTTATACATATAAAAACAATAAAAATTATATATAGAGAGCACATACCCACTTGTCTATTGCATTGTGTTGTTACAACTGTTACCTACTACTTTTACCTTTGTGATTCAATCCCGGGAACCGTTTTTCTTTATATTTAAGAGAGTTTTATTTACTTTTGTATTGACTTTTATTTCTTTATGGTTAGGTATTTGAATACTTGTCTGTTTGCTAGTCCTCAGCTGTTTGTTTGTTTGGTTTTTTTGGTAAAGTAACTCGCAAAAGAGTTGAGTAAAAATTGGTAATCCAAAAATTGGTAGAGGAATATCACAGTTGATAGAAGTTATTTTATTTTTTTACTATTATTGCTATAACCCTTCAGTAATAAAACTACAAAACTTAAAGCATTGTGCCTCACAACATCTGTATGACTGAAGCAAGTATTTTATAGACATTTCTTAGTTGAGGGAAATGCTGGAGTTAAGTAGCTTGTCTGCAAGTATGTGGCAAAGCCAAACATAAACTTTAGTCTCCTGACTTTCAATCCTGTGCATCAAGTTTTATCATACTTATTATCTAGGGCTGTCTTCAGCAAAATACATAGTGCCGTTGACCCTTGTTCCTTGGGGTAGGAATGTTTTTCTGTGCATTGCTAGATTGGGGCCAGTATCTGTGTGGTGTATTATCAGAATGAAGATGCATTGAGTGGTATGCAGGGCACCTGTACACGTGCCCAATGCCTGCTCTGACACGTAATTAGAACTTGTTGGAGCAGAGTCGATTATCAAGTTGAACGAGCTTTAGTTAAAGTGCCCCCACCTCCATTTTGAAGTTCAGGATGCTGAATACATGAGATGTTGTGGGCACTTTAATTAAAGCGCCACCCCCAACTCTTATTAAAGCGCCACCTCAACCCCACCCTGGAGCACATGTAAAGATGCCCCAGGTGAAGAGAGGCATGGGGCAGTTTTAGCATTTCTCCCTGTTCCAACTGTGAATCTCTGTTATGAATCATGTTTCCATTTGAGTGAAAATGTAGTAACTAATTTGAAACAAGAAGCTTGCTAATTATATCATCCCTAAATGTTATAATAGCAAACTAGACTCTGTTTATATTCTAAATTTAGGGAAAAGTAAGGTTTGTCTTTTTCTTTCAGAATCACATTCTGGAGATACTGCAGAATGCTGCTTATATCACAAAAGCTGCCTATGGACTGATACAAGACCACAGCCTTCTTACCTGGATATTGGGTATCCTTGAGAAAAAGTATGTCAAAGAGGAATGTTGGTTTAATGAGAAGCAATTATAGTATGTATAAAAAAGGAGTATTTGTGCAACTGGAAATAAAAATGTTAAGGTATTATTCACCCATCACTGTTTATGGGTAACTTACCCAGAGATCTCCAATTAATGCGTACAGCAGTTTTGCATGAGTGCTGTCCTCTTGGTGAAAGAACTTGAGCCCTAAAATGTTTCCAAATATTGTTTAAATACTTATGGGTTGTGCATTAAGCTTCCTACAGAGATAGTATGATGACATCACATTAGGCTGGTACTCTAGCTTCTCATTTCTAAAACACTTAATTCAAATTTTGCCGTAGGCCCCCAAATCTGCAGGGACCTTGGCGTCACTCAGATTTGATCCAGTATCCTGAACTGACTGTGGTGTCTCTCTCATAATGCACATGCTCTTCTGCCCAGGTTATACCTACTATATGCACACTAGGAGTCAGGATCATCAGTGTTTAAACCAGACTGAATACATTCCCAGCCTGTACCTCTAGAGTGAAACTACCCAATGTAAACTCTGTAGGGTTTTCAAGAGCTCACTAGGGCACAACTTTAGCACACTTTTTTTTCTGACAGTTTGAAAGAGGAGGCCTAGATTTGTCTTGGTGTGCCCAGCACTCATTTTGTGATTAGATTTATGCAGAACATTTCCTCTTTTTTGTGAGATGTAGTGAGTGATGGTTTTTCTTTTTGTTAGGATAATGAATTAGTCTTGGCTACTGGTACTATAGTACTAGGCAATGTTACAATTAAATAAGCCTTAGCATCATCAAAAATCCTTAGTCTAAACTATAAGAGAAATTCTTATCTTAAAAAATAATTGGTCTAAAAGAAGTAGTGGCAATACTTGCAAACATTGCTTTGTTTGCAATTCTCTCAACTGGTTATTCATGTTTAATAAAAGAAGAGTAAAGAGTTTGCTAATTCCATGTATGGGCCTTTACCAGAATACTCCCTCAGTTTCCCATAGAAATCAGGTTTATGTTAGATAGTATCCACAAGATTCTGGGCACTCTCCATATACAGGAGAAGCCCGGTCACCCAGGCCTGGTAGCCTGGCACTACGTGGGTATATTCCTGTGCTGCATAAAACACAGTGAATCCAGGACCTGTTTGCATGGATCTCATTGCAGGTTCAGAGTCCCAGATGTTAACAGCTGTGGCTCCTGTAGGGGATGGGTTGGCTGGATCATGACAAGCTCAGTTTCTGCCTTCCATAAAGGCATTTTTGTTTGTCTGTCTTTCAGGTTTTTGGAAAATAAGGTGCTAACCAGTGTCATCTCCTTAGTCCACACACTATGGGTAACAAATTTAGGAGACAAAGGAAGGATGATGTCAACTGAAGCTCCAAATGAAAAAGAGCTGCAGCCCCAGAAGATCCCAAAGTTTCTTCCTCTTCAGCTTATAAATGAATTTCTGTATGTTCTGATCATGCTAGTTAAACACATTCGGTAAGCACATTCTAATCAAGTTTCCAGGTCTTCATGATGATTACATTTCTGTTCAACTTGAAATACCAAGGCCAACATAAACTCTCAGTGTCTCATGAATTCAACCCTTTCCTCTCAGCTTTTAAGCCCAGATAAATGAGCCCTAATGGGAGATTTGGCTTTTAAATATATTAGTCATGGAGTGTTGTTGCCCCATTGTGACAAATACATTTTATTTTTCTCTTCACACTGAGTTTTGAAGAGTCATCCAAAATAAACATTGTTAGATAAAACACCAGAGCATTTCATATATCATCACATGCTGTCTTCCTTTTAGATTTGCCTTTTAAAAGCTTCAGAGCAGAAAGTCTTGTGGATTTTTTTTGCCTGTTTTATCAACTAATGGAGAGAAGCACCAGGATGCTGAAATTAGGCCTCCCTTGCATCCTGAGACACTAAACTTAAAATTCAGAGACTGAATAAAATGTTAACCACCCATTTGGCTTTTCTTTTTCTCAAGTAATAAACATTAAGAAACATTTCTTTTTTAATTTCTTTTTTTTCTTTTTCTACATAGGACCAACTTAGATTTAGCCAGTCTGACTCAGTTTTTCAGTACATTCAGCTCTGTGCTTGGATACCGTGCTACCATTATTGAGGCCTTCAGAAAAATGAACAGATTTACTGTGAATGAGAGCATCCTTTCAAACAAAGATATCCTTATGCTCTTACATAAGTGGAGCATTGTTGAAAAGAACCTGCAGCTCCAAGATGATCTGCAAATGGTTATTCAAAAGTATCAAGTCAAAGAGTTGCTTAGTAAGTATTAAATAATTTGTTTTATAAGTTGTTTAAACAAGGAGGACTTTGAGGAGACTTCAGGAATCCAGCTTTCCAAAGGAATCAACTTTTAAAATAAACCAATATAAATGATGTATCGAGTGGGTTTTAAACAATTACATTTTATTTCTTCAAATGAAAACAGACGCATTTTTCTTAATCAGGATGCTTTGCCAACCACTTGCCATAATAAAAATAAGCATTTAAAGTATTTTGTTGGCATTAAATGCACTAAATGTGATGGTCCTAGATAGCATGGATAACTTTATTGACAGCCCATTTATTGGCTGTATGCTCCATTACTGAATATAAGGCTTGCAACAGCAATATCTGATTGTGGACCCCGTCAGCTGGAATAATGAAATTCTAATGCGAACACATTGGTGAGGTAGGCCAATCAAGAAAGTTGTTCCATTTCATTAGTCAACTACTTGATAGATTTATTTCAGACATCTTGGGTCTGAATCAATAATGTCACTCTTAAATTATCTTTACAATATTAGAAAGACACAAATCCCCAAACTGGAGTTTTTTGTCTTTGTTTTTAAAGTGGGGTATTTAGAGAATTACAAATAGCTGGGTTTTGTATTTATTAAAAAAGTTATTATCACTTCATGTTTTAACATGCACTACCAGTTAAAGATTTTCCAAAATGCATGTAACATAACAATATACTTTATCAGAAACAAAGCTAGCCCACCCACTTCCATGAATGAGAACAGTACCTAAATATACATTTCCTCCCACCAAAGCGTTGAATTTTTCTGAGAGTTCATGGCACTCTAGAAATGGAATTAGGTGACAGAAATGAAATATTAGTTTTATTTCATCGATTATGAAATATTAGTCTTATTTCTTATCCATTGACGATGCCTGTACACATTACAGGTATTGCAAAATTAACTGGTTAATTGTGCAGTGACCGAGAGACCAGCTACACATGCATAGTAGCTTTTCACACAATAAAAATCTCTAACCAGCTATAAAGTTGGTCCTTGAAAGTGTGTACTAACCTTATAGCTGTTGCTATTGATCTTTAATTTGCATGTGTAGCAGGGTCTCCCGTGCTGCTGGGAGTCCTGTCAACTGACAGGACTCCCAGCCACAGGGATGCACCACGCCCAGCAAAAACCCCCTGAGGCCTAGGGATTGTGGCAGCCACAGTCCCCTTGGCCCGGGGGGTTTCGCACACCCTTGTAGCAGGGGGATTGCCTCTGGTTGGGAGCCCTTCAACTGGCATGTGGGAGTCCTGCTACGGGAGCCGGCTTCTCGCCAGTGCAGGAGGAGCCCAGTATCGGGTTCCCCTTGCACCAGCAATATAGTGTGATGGGACCTAATGCACAATACCACAATTGTGCATTAGATTCCATCATGCCTTCACCTGCACTTGTAGCAGGGTGGGGGGCAACCTGTAAGATACAAAAAGCAATAGCAAAAAAGTGAAAAGCAAATTCAGACCTTTTGCAAATTGTGTTTCATTTTATCTGAATTGTTACTAACACATAAAGGAATTTGCAGTGGGTTAAATTTTCCTTTTTTATTAAGATAGTGATACTTTCATGCAAAATAGTGAATATACCAAAAATGGCTGTATTATAGTTTTTACAGGTTTTGGTATATATTATCAGAGTACATACAAAATAGTAAAGCATTATCAGGTTTTAAAAGCTATATAGAGATTTCTTTTAGAACTTTTGTAAGATTTCTGAAATTTGTGTATATCATAATAATTTTAATGTAGTAAATCAGTGGTGCCACTTGTTGTTATACTATTTACCTTTTTGGTAATTAAAGAACTACGAGTATTCCCTAGCAAATTGCATTAAATGACAGTTGCAAACATTTGCACTCAAAGAGGATTTCTCTCTTTTTTCCCACCCCATGCAATTGTTGTTATATTTCCTTTTTTTTCATTTTCCAGAAACTGAAATGGGTTCAAGTCTACTTGCAGAAGTGTAACACTTTTGAAACTTCTGATGATTTTCCAAAGATTTATCAAAAATAAAATACCTCTCACTGCCTTGCTTATGTAATAAGATTGGTTATTTGGCAGTGTTGCAAAGCTTCACTGTCCTGGCAACACCCCTAACATTAAACTGTGAAAGTATTTTGTGACCTCACACAAAAGTAGCACTGGTAATGCTGCATTTTGTGGGCCTGCTCCTCTGCCCAGTGAAATCTAGAGGGAGAACATATTTCCATTGATGAAGTTAGCTTTGGTCCAGGACATTGTGAAGGCTGTCTATCTGTTGAAGTTAGAGGATTCCATTTAGCAAGGTGCATTTACTCTGTCTTCTTTCCTGGAGCTATGATTAACACAGTTGGCATCTCCCAGCTTCATTGCTTAATAGCATCAAAAGAGATTTGGAGGACTTGACATTTTTTTTCCCTTACAGAAAATATTAGAGAAAAGAACAAAGCCCAAGTTCCATTTCGGTCTTCATCTCGCCGTGTTCGGAAAAAGAACGAATTAGAAAGAGAGGAGGAAACTGACTCAGAGCGGAAATTCTCCAACTTGGAGAAATGCAGAGACCATTTGACTTCTGTATTAATCCAGTGGGAGCCAGTTCTTCCAACCCAGTCTGCTAAACTTCCAGAGGAGCCCCTGGAGTCTTCTGCTCCTGAGAATGAAACTGTCAGCCTTACACATGAAATTGCTTATATAGTAACCAGATGGCTAGTGAAGTGTATGGTGGATCATAGCCTCAAGATGCCAAATGTGTTTCTGATTCTCGAGTGGCTAAAAAACAGGATTTTGCCACACCCTGTAGTGGTGAAGAAGATGCTTAGGGATGCCCCACTGCATAGTGATATCTTTAGGCTTTACAGCAGAGTCTGTGAAGCCAGTGAAGGGATGTCATCCCATCTTAAAGATTCTTGTTTGTTTAGCACAATCATGCTTCAGCTTATGGATGCTCAGGGCCTGACGAACAGCAGTTTTCATGAGCCTGTGAAAATGCTGTGTCTGGGAGCAGTGAATGAGGAGGACAAGATCAAAAAAGGTAACGTCTTTTTTTTTTTTTTACACTGGGTAATGAGGCAGAGGATAATGCATAATGGCTGTTATGCAGTTAAATTACTTTCATTCATCAAAACTTGACCTTTGGATCATTGTCACTTCAGAAAGATAAACTATTCCCTAGAAAATATCAGCCCATTGACTGTTATAATAAGTATGTTCTATACCAGGGGTGCTTAGACCCTGGCCCTGGGCCAGATCCAGTCCATGGAGTTATGTCATTCAGCCTGTGGGGCTTCCTAAGGTCTGAAAACTTGGTAGTGAGGAAGTGGTAGTAGCTAATTGCTCCTTCTCTGCTGCCAAATTTCCGGACCCGTGGGGAGTCCCACAGGATGGATAGCATGGCCCCAGACCCTAGATTGGGCATGTGGGGCCTGATTCAGCTACAAATTGGAGCTCCACTACACTAAGAATATTTGATACAACAGGCTTCTTCCTCCCCCCCCCCCCCCAAAAAAAAAAAACCCC